CTGTATAAGTGCTTTGTGGGACTGGGATCATAACAAGAAACATTAGAATAAATAGAAATGTACACATTTATAGAAACATCTGTTCACCTTGGGTTTGATCCTGCTGCCACTGAAGTCAATAGCAAAACTCCAATAGATTCCAGTGGGAGGAGAAGAAAACGCAGGCCACAAATGATTGAGCATGTCTACTTAAATTGCAACATACTTTTTTTTTAAAAATCAAGCTCTTTTATGATAAATACTTAAGTCTTTCAATGCATTCCTTAGAATTTGTGGTATCTGCACAGTACTGTCAAAACATGTGCAGCAATAATAGAAAATTCAAAACTGCTGTTTCCACACAAATCAACTATTGTGCTTTCTCACTCTCTCTCTCACATACTGTGGGCTTCCCTCTTGAATTTGTAATAAACTTTAGACCATTTTCAATTACCCCAGTAATGTGAGATTATACACTAATTGTTCATGATTCTACAAGGTGGCTTTAACATCTAGACATTGTCCTATTGAAGGAGAGGCAAAATGTACTAAATATTTCATTAATAAATTTGAATCACAAATTACTGCCTTACATTCTGTGGTGAGCCCAGTGTGTACTTGCTTCAGCATGTGGAACATCCATTTAGCTTTAAAACTTTTGTCCCTATAATTTGTTTGAAGAAAATTTGACTTATCAAGATAAAAGCTGAACCTACTCTCATTCCAGTCAATTGGAGAACTCTCTCTGATTTTAACAGGAGCAAGATGAGGCCCTGAGCAAGCAGCACAGATTGTGGTGGTCATGGAAATGGTTACACAAAACATATAGATTAAATTAAAACGTAGGAAAGAAAAACCAAGAGAGCAAGCAAAACATAAGAAGACTGTCTGAAAATCCCAGCTGTCATTTTTAAAAAGGAGCCTAAGAAAATCAGATGCCCAAATGCCACTGAAATTCAGTGGGAACTTGGTACATGTTACAGGACCGCCCCAATTGGAATGGACTCCCATAGCATGACAGGCACACCTGCCCGTTTCCTTTTTCAGAGTTCCTAGTAACTCCATCAAGCCCTCTTGACACAATACTACCCTCCTTATAAAATATTGTGCAAGTTGTCCACAAGTGAGTCCCAAGCACATATAATTTGTCACCCCACTGGAAACAGTGTTAAGATCATCCAACATCTCAGCCCACAACAGCCCA